GTAATATATTTACTGAGAAAAATGGTGACGTGTTCAGTACTTATTTTACCCGCTGTAGCTGAAGCAAAGCATTAAACAAGAGGCTGGTTTTTACCAGGCTAACAAAACGGCAAAACACACAGTAAWTGATATAACTGGTAAAATTAAAGACAAAAGGAAAATAAAATTAAACCAATAAAAAACGACAGCCAGAGCTGGGGAAAAAGCCCTGTTTAAAACATTTACAATCAATGATGCCTTCAAAGTAAGCCAGACTAGTTTATAAAAGAAAACATTTAAGTTTTTTTAAAAGACATTTGCAAGAGTAGAACTGAACATCTCTCTATATTTACCCTTAATGCTGTGAACTGAGTCTACTCAGATGTTGGAGAAAAATAAACATGTTTTTTTCCAGTAATAAAAGATGTTTGTTGCATCTGTAGCAGGGGAGAAATCATTATGAACCACTAGGTGGAGCCAGATATGACTCTAAAATCTGGATATGTTCTGTCACTGGCTTAATATTGAGTAAATTAATCTTTAGTCATCAAAAAAGAAATGTTTGGTGAATATTCTGACCTTAATGAGTTGTGAGGTTGAGGTTTTTGGAGAATTGGGGTATTTTCTACTGTTAGGGTGCAGATTTGTTCCATCAGAACAAAACAAGATGAGCTGTGTACTTTAACTATCAAAGGTCATATYATGTAAGATTGGTGTAGTTAGTAATATCGTGTTAATGCACTGAACATTCATTTTTCTGAGAAACACAAAAGTATAAACAAGAGTCACTAACAGTACGGATAAACACAGGAAGAATGACTTCACTATAACTTATTTTAAAGACAGAAAAGTTCATGTTTGTCTTCTGTTTCMCATCCTCAGCCCACTCTGCCCAATATTTTTAGGCCCGTCTGCTCGGAGATGGCCTTCACCCTCCACTGCAGCTAACGTTAGCAAACCCTCCTCTGTCTCCTCTTCTGCTCCTTCCTCTGGGTTAGAAGAGCCTTCACAGCTGAACTGCAGGCTCTCTGCCTCTGTCAACGGATCGTCATCAGCTTCCTCCTCCTCTTCCACCTCTGTGCCTTCATCATCGTCCTCCATCTCATCTTCCCGCTCCTCTTCCTCCTCCTCAAACGTGTCCTGTTTGGGGTAGTGGAAGACGCGTTTCTGGTCACTGAAGCTTATTTGCTTCTTCCCCACGTCATGCTGCTGCAGCTCTCTGCTCACCTCGAAACCAAGTCTCTCCTGTTTTCTCTCCACAGCAGGTGAAGCAGGACTGAGCAGCTGCTTTTTCTCCTCATCCTCCTCTTCTTCTTCGTCCTCCTCTTTCATGCCTTCCTCTACCTCCTCCACYTAGTTCTCTGCTTCTTCCTCTCCTTCATCCAGGTCTTCGTCATCCTCATTTAAATCATCCTCTTCTCTATCATCATCCTCCTCTTCATCTTCCTCCTGCACTATGGATAGCTTCCTTGCCATGATCTCTTCCTCTTCCTGTTCCATCCTCTCTGCTAGCGCCTCGGCAGTGGGCTGACTGGGGGGTTCCTCCGGTCTTAACTTCTCAAACCTACGTCTGTAACTGCGATCACTGTCATACTCCGGGTAAGTCTCCTCTGGATAGCCTGTGTTGGAACACAAGAAAACACAGCTTTACGTCATTAACGAGGTGTTCGGACTCACCAGAGACGAACCCTGCTTCGCTGTAATCCTGAGAACCGTTTGAGGAGGCATGTACCTTCCCAGTCTGCACCATAAGGGACCTCCTCAGCCTCCATCTCTGGGGAGGCTCCCTCCAACCGACTCTCCTGCATCAGCAGTGAGATCTGCCGAAMCTGCCTCAGGAGCTTCTCTTCCTTCTTTGATGTTGAGGTTTTACTCTTCCGCCTTCTGCAATCATAGAGCAGCACAAACATGGCAGCCAAGTCAGGGTTGAGATATTTTGTACATCAACTTTAACCACTTTAATAAACTGTTCAATTCTTTACTTTGATATGTAAATAAAAGTTATTTCATATGAAGAAAGAAAAAAAAATCACCAATCATAGTTAATCAGAACCAGTTTAGCACAGTGAGARGTATCAGTAAATGTTCTGCTGATCATTAAAATGTGAAATTTAAGCTGTAAAATCAATTAATAG